ATGTCTATGCTTCGAAAAATATCCTTAAACAATCCACGCCTATGTCTATGCTTCGAAAAATATCCTTAAACAATCCACGCCTATGTCTATGCTTCGAAAAATATCCTTAAACAATCCACGCCTATGTCTATGCTTCGAAAAATATCCTTAAACAACCCACGCCTATGGCTATGCTTCGAAAAATATCCTTTAATAAATCCACGCCTATGGCTATGCTTCGAAAAATATTCTTTATTAAATCCACGCCTCTGGCTATGCTTTGGAAAATATTTTTTAATAAATCCACTCCTCTGGCTATGCTTCGAAAAATATTCTTTAATAAATCCACGCCTATGGCTATGCTTCAAAAACATTATTTAAAAATCCACGCCTTTGGCTATGCTTCAAAAACATTATTTAAAAAATCCACGCCTATGGCTATGCTTCAAAAACATTCTTTAAAAATCCACGCCTTTGGGTATGTTTCAAAAACATTCTTTAAAAAATCCACGCCTATGGCTATGCTTCATAAACATTCATTAAAAATCCACGCCTTTGGCTATGCTTCAAAAACATTCTTTAAAAATTCACGCCTTTGGGTATGCTTCAAAAACATTCTTTAAAAAATCCACGCCTATGGCTATGCTTTGAAAAATATTCATTAAAAAATCCACGCTTATGGCTATGCTTCGAAAAATATTGTTTAAAAAATCCACGCCTATGGATATGCTTGAAAAGATATTCTTAAAAAAATCCACGCCTATGGCTATGCTTCGAAAAATATTCTTTAAAAAATCCACGCCTATGGCTATGCTTCGAAAAATATCCTTAAACAATTCACGCCTATGGCTATGCTTCGAAAAATATTCTTTAAAAAAATCCACGCCTATTGATATGCTTGAAAAGATATTCTTAAAAAAATCCACGCGTATTGTGAAGCTTACTAAATATTCTTTAAAAAAAATCCTCGACTATAGCTATGCTGGAAAAAAACTAGCATTATTCCTTGAGTGTAATTGTATGTACAATCGAGTTATTTTCCTCTTGAAAAAAATCAACAACATCTGGACCAAATGTGCGTTACCATTCAGGGTTTGTCTGACTGGCCGGTAGCTTAAATCAATTTCTCAGGTGTTTGTATTTATTTTTTTCAATTCAACGCTTTCGAATCCAGAAGAAGGGTGACGGGAAAAATATGACACTAATACTTTTTCAAAAGTAACAACAACAACAATGTGACTTGTCTACCACGACAACTAGGTTACGACGGGAATCCCAAATAAAGAGTCAACACAAGCAAAAGATATTTGCCAAAAGCAAACAACAACGACAACGAAATGCCCCTTGCAGAAATTTGGCCCCTCCCTAGTTTGGTTATTTACCTAAACAGAAAGACGAAAAAATAAAAAAAAACAAAACTGGTGTATGACTAAATGGAGTTCCAATATCAGAAAAAACCTCTAACCAAAATAAAATTGGGTCTTCGTAGTCTCTACAAGAGGTGTGTGACTGTTTCGTATTTTTTAACACAAAAATGTTGTGTGAATTTTTGTAAAAACGTCATTACCTCTTTTTTGGTTGGTTGTATGTTCGCAAGTTCGGAACATATAAGCCATGTGTGTTTTACCAGCATTTGCTACTTCTGTTTTTGTTTTTGGATTTTTACTCTCTAGTTCCATTTCAAACATGTAGTCGTCTATCTTGTAGCAGCGTCATCGTAGCTATTTGTCTTCAGAGCTGTCTGCCTGCAGCTGCAAATTATTGTAACAACAACAGCAACAAACAACAACAAAAAACTCGAGCACTTAAAGCTCTTTGGAAATAAAAATCAGTCATAAAGTTCATTCAACTTTCCGAGCGTGTGTGTGCGGAGTTAGGTTTTTATGTTTTTCTGTTTGTTTGTGTATTTTTTTCTTCTTCTTCGTCTTAAATGGCAACAAATTGTATCACACAATTTTCCATGAGACCTAAGTCGTCGACGGTAACTGAATAAGTGTGAAATTACATAAAACTTCAAAGCGGATTTGGTTGGGTTTTTTTATTTGGCCAACAAAAACAAATTAATAACTTGATTTATCGGTGTGCAATCAATAAATTATATGACACACAATTTTGATTATTATATAATCGGAGCAAAATTGAAAAAAGTGTTGGGTCTGATAACAAATGCATTGCAGATAATCTGACATGGGTGTGGATTTTTGAAGAATATTTTTTCAGGCTTAGCCAGAGACTTGGATTTTTTAAATAATATTTTTTTTAAATAATATTTTTTAAAGAATATTTTATAGAGGAGGCGTGGATTTTTTAAATAATATTTTTTCAAGTCCTTATAGATGAGGCGTGGATTTTTTAAAGAATATTTTTTCAAGTCCTTAGAAGAGGAGGCGTGGATTTTTTAAAGAATATTTTTTCAAGTCCTTATAGATGAGGCGTGGATTTTTTAAAGAATATTTTTTCAAGTCCTTATATATGAGGTGTGGATTTTTTAAAGAATATTTTTTCAAGTCCTTATATATGAGGCGTGGATTTTTTAAAGACTATTTTTTCAAGTCTTTATAGAGAAGGCGTGGATTTTTTAAATAATATTTTTTCAAGTCCTGATTGAGGAGTAGGCGTGGATTTTTTAAACAATATTTTTTCAAGTCCTGATTGAGGAGTAGGCGTGGATTTTTTAAACAATATTTTTTCAAGTCCTGATTGAGGAGTAGGCGTGGATTTTTTAAACAATATTTTTTCAAGTCCTGATTGAGGAGTAGGCGTGGATTTTTTAAACAATATTTTTTCAAGTCCTGATTGAGGAGTAGGCGTGGATTTTTTAAACAATATTTTTTCAAGTCCTGATTGAGGAGTAGGCGTGGATTTTTAAAACAATATTTTTTCAAGTCCTGATTGAGGAGTAGGCGTGGATTTTTAAAACAATATTTTTTCAAGTCCTGATTGAGGAGTAGGCGTGGATTTTTTAAACAATATTTTTTCAAGTCCTGATTGAGGAGTAGGCGTGGATTTTTTAAACAATATTTTTTCAAGTCCTGATTGAGGAGTAGGCGTGGATTTTTTAAACAATATTTTTTCAAGTCCTGATTGAGGAGTAGGCGTGGATTTTTTAAACAATATTTTTTCAAGTCCTGATTGAGGAGTAGGCGTGGATTTTTTAAACAATATTTTTTCAAGTCCTGATTGAGGAGTAGGCGTGGATTTTTTAAACAATATTTTTTCAAGTCCTGATTGAGGAGTAGGCGTGGATTTTTTAAACAATATTTTTTCAAGTCCTGATTGAGGAGTAGGCGTGGATTTTTTAAACAATATTTTTTCAAGTCCTGATTGAGGAGTAGGCGTGGATTTTTTAAACAATATTTTTTCAAGTCCTGATTGAGGAGTAGGCGTGGATTTTTTAAACAATATTTTTTCAAGTCCTGATTGAGGAGTAGGCGTGGATTTTTTAAACAATATTTTTTCAAGTCCTGATTGAGGAGTAGGCGTGGATTTTTTAAACAATATTTTTTCAAGTCCTGATTGAGGAGTAGGCGTGGATTTTTTTAAACAATATATTTTTAGAAGAGGAGGCGTGGATTTTTTAAAAAATATTTTTTCAAGTCCTTAGAAGAGGAGGCATGGATTTTTTAAAAAATATTTTTTCAAGTCCTTAGAAGAGGAGGCGTGGATTTTTTAAAAAATATTTTTTCAAGTCCTTAGAAGAGGAGGCGTGGATTTTTTAAAAAATATTTTTTCAAGTCCTTAGAAGAGGAGGCGTGGATTTTTTAAAAAAATTTTTTTCAAGTCCTTAGAAGAGGAGGCGTGGATTTTTTAAAAAATATTTTTTCAAGTCCTTAGAAGAGGAGGCGTGGATTTTTTAAAAAATATTTTTTCAAGTCCTTAGAAGAGGAGGCGTGGATTTTTTAAAAAATATTTTTTCAAGCATAGCCTTCATGCGATTTAAATAACTCAAATACCAATCAAATTCGTCACCAACATCCTTCCTGTGTTGATGTTCTTTGATAGTGGTAGTATGCAGCCATAAATGACTGACACAGATCCAAATTGTCGGTCGTCTAGTAATCATATTAAAGTTTTATTCACAATCCGTCTAACAATTTTGTTGTCTGCTTTTGCAAAATAGTCAGGCTGTCTGCTTATCAAATAAAGTTGCCACTTTTGACTTTTTCTGGCAAATGGCATTTTTTAAATAATTTTGGTCGGTTATAGTTTTTGGTAATTTGACTGAAATTTGGGAATATTTTATGATTCCTCTAAGTGTACTAATTCTGCAGGTTTGGAACTTGTAGAATATTTTTATGTAGAAGCAAGCGGCAACTTGGTCTCCTGTTTTGTTCTTCATTTCAATATTGGTCTGCTTTTAATTCTAAACTAGAAAAGGGGCAACAATTTTTTCAAACGTCCATATAGACAAACAAGTAATTCATAAACAAAGTTTGACGTTTGACGGACACAAACACATGCGTGACTGATGTGTGTTGTCCATTAATTTTTTGCTTGATGATGATGGGTGGGTGGATGGATGTATGACTGTCTGGGCGAATGAATGAAGAAACGGATGAATGAATGGTTAGCTTCATACAATTTGGCCCAATGCCATAATCTGCATTGACTGGACACTGCTGGACTTCCTAAAGAGTCAATATTATTATTTCTAAAACACAAAGAAAATTTTTATTAACAAATAAAAACAATTTTTTCTCCACAAATTTCCATACATCAATTCCAATCTAATTTTTTTCTTCTATTTCCTTTCTTTACAGTTTTAATTACAACCTGGCAAACAACAATAAATAATTCCTTGTCGGAATCTTTCCACAACTCTTGATTCTCGCATCCAGATCCAGTAGATAAGACGAACTGTGACGTAACTTATTTTTCCTTTCTTAATACTCTACCACACACACACACACATAACATATTCTTAGGTTAGAAACGGCCACAACGTTCCCCCTCTATACTCGTACTCCGTTTTTTATTAATAAGAAACATTACAATTGCAACATCACAAGAACACGAACAACAACACTAACAAAATGAGTAAAAAACCAACAGCTGGACCCGCGTTACACAAAGTAATTATGGTTGGTAGTGGTGGTGTTGGTAAATCAGCCCTAACCCTACAATTTATGTACGATGAATTCGTTGAGGACTACGAACCAACCAAAGCCGATAGTTATAGAAAAAAGGTAAGTTTTGGGGATTTTTTCAGAAGAATATTTTTTTTAATATGGCACATATGACAATATTTTTAAGAGTGGACTTGTTTACTTTTTAACAAGTCCATCCTTAAAAATAAAAAATAATTTTCACAGATCTTTAAAAATGTGGAATTTTTGAAGAAAAAGAACTTTAAAGTAGTGAATTTTCTAGACCATTTAAATATGGTTTTCTAGAAGCATCAGAGCGTATTTTAAAGTATTAAATTTGAAGGGTTATCAGAACTTTTTAAATATATTTAAGGATTGTTCTAGGGTGGATTTGAAGGTCTTTTCAGAATATTTTCTTCCAGAATCAACACTTATCTTTGAAGGATCTTAAAAACGTAAATTTTAGTTGAATATTTTTATGGATTGTCTGACTGAGGATAAAAAGAATATTTCTATATAAAACTTTCAGGGTTTATTTTTTTAAAGGACTGTCAGCGATTGAATTTTTGAAATAATATTTTTGAAATCATTGATATTTTAATTAATAATTTTGAATAAATATTTTATTTTAATAAATTAAAAAATATATTTTTAAATGTATATCAGAACATGATTTTAAAAAAAAAGGACTATCTATCAGAGCAGAGGAATTTTTTTTACAAAATATTTTTAATGAACTATTAGGGCCTGATTTTTTTAAAAAGATATTTTTAGAGGAATAACAGAACCTGGAATATTGAAAAAAATATCTTTTGAGGGTCGTACCTAAATTCGTATTAAAAATAAATTGAAATGACATTTTGCAGTAAAAAAACATAACAGTCAATTATGTGCAATTTTGGTTTCGTAGATTCCGATCAGGAATTTTTGATGTGAAAGATGCACCTCGCACAAATAGGTCGGTCGTCGAAAATGTCGATAAAGTCGGAGAAATAATCGAAGTTGACCGGCATGTTAGCAGTCGTAACATCGCCTAGGAGCAAAAAATCTACCATAAAACTGTTTTAAACCATTTACAATTGACCAGAAATGGACAAAATTTGCCAACAGTGGAGGTGTCGTGTTTCACCAGGACAACGCTAGGCCACACACATCTACAGTGACTCGCCAGAAACTTCGAGAGCTTGGTTGGAAAGTTCTAATGCATCCGCCACACAGTCCGGACTAGGCACCAAGTGATTATCATATTTTTCTTGCATTGCAAAATGATAAAAATTAGATACCAATTGAGGATTGTGACTCCTATGAGAGAGGCATTATGAAGTTACCTTTAAAATGGCAACAAATCATACAACAAAACGGTGCATATTTCGGACCAAATCAGACATTCGGAAGCATGTTAAATAAAGTCCTATGGTTCATATAAAAATGAGTACAGAGTAGAGTTGTTATTTTATTTTTAAATATTTTCAAAGACGCACCGATGATATAGATTTTTTAAACATATTTTTAAGGCCAGGAATGGCGTACATTTTTATACCCTACCCAACTATGTGGTCATCAGGGTATTATAGCTTTTTGCCGTCCCAAGAGTTTGTAACGCCGCGAAATATTGGTCATAGACCCACCTTTAAGTATACCGATCGTCATATCTCTACTAGCTGAGTTGATCTAGACAAGTGTGTCCATCCGTCCGTCTATCCATTATAATTTGTAAATAAGGTACAGGCCACAGTAATGAACTAATCTTCATGAAATTTTGCATATAGGATAGGTTCTGGCCAATGAAGACCCCTTTTGTTTTTGATAAAGATCGATTAATATTTGTGCCAAACACTTTATTTTTGTCTGATATTCTTGTCGCTCCAGAGGCCGCAATTATGGCCCGAACATCGTGAATTTTCACATTAGAAAGGGGATAGGGCCAAAGAATAAGTATGCCTGCTTAGATAAACATCGGTCAATATTTAGCGGGTCAAATGGACCCTGACTTTTGTGTGAAAAATTTTTAAAATTTGTATTCTATAGCGTATATCAAACCGTTTTGGAGATACAAGGATACAAGGAAAGTCTTTCTACATGACAGAATCTCCTTATAAATAGCATGGTTTTTTTAGGGTGTCCGGCCTTCGGCCGGGATTTTAAGGCTTTTAGCTATGATGGGGTTATTTCAAACCAAAACGGTTTGAGATAACCCCATCATATCACCACATAACCCGTTGACGTATTTCCACGAGTCTGACTCGTGGTACAATTTGTGTGCCTAACATGATTATGATTCGATTCTCATAATAATCGATAATAAAACTAGTTGATGCTGTGCACAACATCTAATCTAAAATAAATATTTTTATTACATGCATTCACATTTCGTTTCGTTTTGCTGTTGTTCTTAAGCATCAAAACCGGTTTACTTAGTGCAAGTTCTGTGCTAATAGTTGGAAGCGAACTTCGTTGCGCTAATTGATACGTCAAAGGGTTAATTGAAATGATTAAAATGATACCCATTTTATATTAACCGGATACCCGTACCCGAACTTCCGAGTCAAATAACCGGGTACGTCCCCCAAGAAAAAAAGATATTCCCATAATTAGGGTAAAAATACCTACCTCTGGAAAAACATTTCAGAAAAATCTGATCGTTTTTATTAAACTAGAGTTGTTCCACCTATTATCACACTAGATGACTGAAATATAGCGCTGATAGCTTTGAAATTTTCCATGTGGATTCTGGTATGGTCAAGGACAACGCCTATAATTTTCGGTGATGATCAGATAATAATACTGGGATAAAGTGGACCGAAAACTTAATTTTTTTGTTAATTCGAGTCGATCTATATATTTGTTAACTTTTTTAATGACCAGATATGACGTATATTTTTTAAAAACATTTTTAAGTCCCAGCGTTGGTGTAGATTTATTTAAAAGCATCTTTAAGACCCAGCTTGGCGTAGATTTTTTAAAAGCATTTTTAAGATCCAGCTAGGCGTAGATTTTTTTAAAAAATATTTTTAAGGCCTATCTATGGTGTAGAAGTTACGTAGATCAATATCCATGGTATATTTGTACCCATCCAAATTAATCGCTTTGTAGCAAAGGAAAATCAAGAAAAATATATATGGAAAATATTTACAATTTTATTGGTAAAAATACCTCAAGAATAACTGTCCCAAAATTTGAGCCAAATATCCCCATTATTGAAAAATTTTCAGAGATACAATGTACCTTTCAGGGATTTTAAGGTTGGGGACTTTTTATAGAAACATTTTCAGATCTCTTATTATTTTTAGTCTTTTATCAAACTTTTTAAGGATAGTTCGCTTGATTTTTAGAGATTCAAGCATGACTTATATGAAGAATAGGTTTCGAGGATCATTTTAAGACGTTGATTTATGAATATTTCCATGTATCTTAAGATAAAGAATTTTTAATGACTGTTTTATTTCGAAATGTCTCACTAAAATATTTTCTTGTATTTTCTTTCAGGTTGTATTAGATGGCGAAGAAGTACAAATAGATATATTGGACACAGCCGGCCAAGAAGACTACGCTGCCATCCGTGATAATTATTTTCGTAGTGGTGAAGGTTTCCTGTGTGTTTTCTCTATAACAGACGATGAAAGCTTCCAGGCTACACAAGAATTTAGGTGAGTTTATTAGAAATATACAAAATTAGAATAATGGAGAAGGCCCGCTTTGAGGACAACAAATAAAAATTTGTCGATCTATTTTAGAATATGTTAACCTTGCAATTTTTATTACGTCATCGGCTTAACGCAGTATTGGTTATTTAGGGAAAAAGTCCTGAACAAGATCAGGCGTTTATTTTGCTAATAACGACTATCGATTATAGGGACAAATTTCATCGGTTCCTTCTCCTTCGTTATAAACGATTTCGACTCTATACATATTATCTGATGTTAGTAGTCTAGAGGCTAACTTTTTTATTTTTTATTCTATACTTTATTAAAATCCTTCCCTTTGTATCGCAAAACAATATCACAAGGTGCATTTCTTCACGATTTTTATGTTATCGAATTTACGCATAACTAGATATAATTATAGGCGCTAGTCCTATCAATAATACACTTGAAATATAATCCCATCCTATAACTTGACCTGATTATTTGCGCTGTAACTCTACTTGCTTTTACTTACTCACATTTCATGTTATTTGTTTGTTTATTTGTCACCTGTTGTTGTCTTATGGCATAAACATTTGACCAAATGAATGGTACCTGTCATTCATTGCAGCTTTCCATTTTTTCCTTCTCCTTCCATAAAGCAGTTGAAATTTAATATTTCTTTTTGGCTTTGGTTAAGCCGACGACGCACATCATAAGCCAGACTTTAAATCAGCTTTAGCTTTGCAACCTCTCACTGCCACAATAATGACGACGAAGATGATGATGAGCTGTCCATTGTGGTTAATGTCATCTGCCGCAGAGAGAGCGAAAGAGATGTCATCTTTTGTCCAATTCGTACATTAACTTTTGCTAATTTTCGCTGCTGTCGCTGCCGTTGTCGTCATTTTCTTTTAATTTACTTTTCATTAACACTTTCTCAGCAACAATGCCATGCCAATTTTATTGTTGGTGTTGTTTTTGATGTTTCGTTTTTTGTTTTCTTCGTCTGACCACCGACCGACGATGTTAATGAACATTGTCATATTAATTTCAAAGTCTTTGCTAATTAACACCATCACGTCTCTTTGGTCATCAGTAGTATTCGGTCGGTCGGGGTGACGAACATTTGGCTTTGGGTGTGTGTGAGGGTTTATAACTGACCAGTTCAGTTCAGGGACTTGCTTTACAATTGGCAAGTGGTTTTCTTTTTTGGTAAGTATTTGTATAATTGTTCACCTGCCGAAAAATCTGGATAGATGTTAAATACATGACAATCAGCTAATTGAGATTTAGAAAGTGTGTATACGAGGGGATGCATATTGTTTTATACTTTATATCTTCCTTATGCTCTTCCACAACATTTTTCAATGATATCTCAATCACATCCAGTGAGACTTCTAGGCAAAAGAACAAGTCTTCTAAAAATTGAAACCGAAATGATCAGCAGGACCTTCTGTGATAGACTACATTTTGATTTAGACTACATTTAAATAAAAGGGCTCCAAAAACAGCTAGAAGACTCAACGTATTTTCAATATTTTTAGCAGGTTATCTAGAGATCGAAGTCCTTATATTTTCAGCAGGACTTCTTGTGATAAGAGATCTTCATCTGAACTTGCAAAAACAAACGAAAATATTCAGCTGCACCTTTTAAGTTAAATTATTAGATGATCGATAGATAGAAGGTCCTCAACTTATTTCCAGAAGGTATTTTTGAGAATGAACTCCTTATAAAAAACAAAATATAGTTATTTAAAAAGAGTAGGCCTTCAGCAGCTCTTTCAGAAACAGGAGATCTTCAGCAGGACTTCTTTGGTTATGGTATATCTATCAGGCGTTCAAATCCACCTCTGTGGCAAATCCTGGAAAAGACCCACGAAAAGCACATCGACACATTCCACCTATTGGTCGATTATAAAACCGCATTCGAAAGCCCTATCCGTTCAGAGGTGTTTAATGCCATGTTCCCGTTCGGCGTTCCTGAATGAATTAATACGGCTATACAGGATAACTTTAACTGGCACATGATCAGCAGTTAAAGTCGAAAAGGACCTCGCGGAGCCCTTCAATACCGAAAGAGGATTCAGACAAGGTGACAGTTTGTCGTGTGACATTTTTAACATCCTGCTGGAAAAGGTCATACGAGAGGCAACGATGAACAGAAATGACACACTGTACACCTAACAACACATGTTACTCGCCTACGCCGGTGGCATCGATATAATGGGTCGAACATTGCGAGCAGTAACAGCCAACTTTGAACAAATTAAGAAGGACTCCACCAAAGTGTCTTTCAAATTTGATGAGGCAGCTCTTGGAATGTTTGAGAGAAAATTTCTCCGAAAGCTCTTTGGGCCGAATGAACCATGAGTTGTACCCTCTATTCTCGTACATCGGTATTGTCAGACGTACTTTGGCTAGGTCAACTTGTGGAAATGGATGAGGATTCCCCCACTCAAAAGAAATATAAAAGCGACCCAAGTGAATGTTCACACAGAAGGGGAAGGTCACGAATAAGACGGGAAGATCGGAAGACGCCATTTCGAAACATGGTCTTTCAAATTGGATGTGCTGTGCACAAGACCGACGCGCCTGGAAATCTTTTGAAGCTCTGTTTATGGAACAAAATTTCTGTCACAAGTCAGCTATAAAATTGAATATATATCTATTCTGAAATTCTCTGGAATATATCGTATTGGAATGAACACCAAAAATCGAGTATATGTATATCAAATATGTTAATGTATATTTTTATTGAATAGGTCCGCATATTCATGCGCTCAGGGTCAAACGTTTAAAACTATTCTCCCTTTCCCCCTGGTAGTTATGCTTTCATATTGATATTGAGGTTTTCAATTCGAAACGTCACACTTTACTACGGTTTTATACAAATCTACAACAAATGCCACCAGATTTTGCACAAAATTACAAATTCCAGATTCCCGATAGAAATTAAAAAAAAACACACACACTTTTGATTACTATTTCAATTTTCTGTAAAATTATATAGAATTTTGTTTGCAAATGTGTGTTTATTTTTTAATTTCGAGCAGCCATTGTTTATTTATTTTTTATTTCTTGCTAGAGGAAAGAAACAAATTTTCACAAACTCTTGGCGACGACGTACATAATTTATGTTCAAGATTTTCCAAACAACAACAACATTTCATTCTCCGGTTGTGGTGGGGCAGCCAAACAATTCATTTGTGGCGATTGTTTCCCATACAAATATTACAAAGGCTGCCGGCGTATCATTTCACACAATTGTTTTCCACATTTAGATCCGTATCCGAAAATCTCTTCATGTCTATCTCTCCTTCTCGTCTGTTCCCTTTAGCTGTCGAGCAAATAATTGACAAATGAAAAACTTGAGGGCCAAGATGGTCATATATACGATTCTGTAAACCGCAACAAGTTTTTATTTACCGAGCAGATTATAAAAGTTTGTAAAACAAAGGCTTGGTGGTTTAGAAAACGTAGTTAATAGACCTCTGTATGCTGTTACACAGACCAACACAATCTTGGAAATAAAAAAATGTGATTCAGAGGAAACTCATAAGGGTTGACACATTTCATTGAAAATAAATGACCACTATAATTCTATTAATTTAATATTGTAAAAAATTATCCAAGGAATTTCTGAACCTAATAAAATCAATCGAAAAGTCTGCACATGAGAATTTTGACTTTTTGAGCCTCTGTAACATCGATAACAATTATAGAGTAAAATATAAGGGTTGTCAGCAGACTTTTTGAACTAAGTGTATATTCGCAATTTTTTTTTTACCAACAACAAGTTACCTTCATTTTATTTATTTTCTTCTTCTATTTTTTCCTAAATTGTTTGCTATTGATTACCGGTGAAATGGGTATGACTCATACCTCAAACACTTGCGAATAATCAAACATCCTCACACACAGGCACACACATCAACCACTTAGTCGATTTCACAGCCATACATTATTCGTCATTAATGTACGGAACACCCTCCGCCGGCGCCCAACTCCCCCTTCATATAAATATGAACGTAATTTACAAAGTATTTATGTTTCATGTTTTGTTTTTTATTATTATTTCCCCTCGAAAACCCCTTCAATGGATGGATGGACTATAAATAAACGATAGTTTATTTTTCAGGGTTAACTAATTACTGATAAAAAACAATTCACAATGAACTATACAAACAACAATATCAGCACTAGTACAATTGTATCGTATGGAAATTGGAATTTCATTACACCACCTCACTCATGCGACTGTATAACTGCATATCAGAATACAAGGCAGTAACAATAGGACAAAATTACACACAAAAAAACTTCTGAAAACCTAAACCTTAAACTTGTTATTTTTTTTATTCGAAAAGGGTGACTGTAGAACATTGCTTGAAGAAAATGAATCATTCGCATTGTAAGGGGGATTTTTTTTATTGAAGACTCACGTATATTCTCAATGAACCTTGATATTATGTGAGCTTATCGCTTAGATGTTCCTTAAAAATATTTTTTGAAGTCCTCCTCTGTAAGGACTTGAACAAATATTCTAAAAAAATCCACCACTCTATAGGGTCCTGAAAATATGCTCTAAAAAAATTGACCACTCTATAGGGTCCTGAAAAAATATTCTAAAATTAAAAATCCACCACTCTATAGGGTCCTGAAAAAAATATTCTAAAAAAAATCCACCTCTCTATAGGGTCTTGAAAAAATATTCTTAAAAAATCCACGCCTTGGATAGTCTTTGAAAAACTATACTTTAAATATCCACGCCTTCGAAAGTCCACGCCGCGCTTAGTCTTTAAAAGTCTTAAAAAATCCATGCCCTGGAAAGTTCATGCCGCGCTTAGTCCTTAAAATTCTTAAAAAATCCAATCCTTGGTAAGTCCATGCCGCGCTTAGTCCTTAAAACTCTTAAAAAATCCATGCCTTGGAAAGTATATGCCGTGAATAGTCCTAACTATTATTAAAAAAAGTCCACGCCTCCTCTATAAGGACTTGAAAAACTTTTGTTTAAAAAATCC